GAGAGCTGGCCCTGCAAGTCGTGCAAAAGGTATCTACGGAAACTCTCCGTAGGGGCGACACCTGGTCCGACCATGCATAAAATCCTCAGGATTCCGCTGTTATATCACGCTTTCGCATGGCTGCCATGTGCCTTATGTCCCGGTGCTACCAGGACGCCCAAGAGCAAGTCGCGGCGCTCCAAGATCGAATTGCTCAACTGCAGGCCGCTACGGAAGGGCACGCGACACAGTGGCAGCAGCTCTCGATCAAGCACAACGAGCTCCTACAGCACTACAGCGTCTTACAGCAGCAGCAGCAGCAGGGCGCCATGGAGCAGGAATGCTCAAAGGTTACTGCGATTACTGTGGATAACAATGCAGAAAGCCATGGGACGTTGCTGGCCGATGCCGCATTGGAGCACAGAAACCTGAGCACGCGAATTGCGGAACTCCTGCGGCGTCAGGCGGAGCTGGAGGCGGAGATGTCCGACGTGCAGGCGGCGTGCAACGTCGCTGTTGCGGAGAAGCATACGCTGGAGAGGGTCATGAACCACAGGCAAGACCCGATTGAAGTGGGGCCTTTTGCTGCAGACCTCGAATGGTATACAAGCTCAGCTGAACAGGATTTTGATCCGAAGCTCTCACAGGCACGGGTGCAAACAAGGAAACAACTACTTGTCCTTGCTGCCCTTATTATACAGAGTGCTGGAACTGGAGACAGCTAACATCCGCCTTCAGGACGCGCTCGCGAAGCTGCGGGGAGAGCAAGGTTCCTTACCGATGGACACGGACACGTAAGGATGTAGTGCATCCATGCCGTTTCCGCGGTGCTGAAATTGGACAAGATCGTAGCTGCAAATGGCCAAACGTTTGCATGGTGCTTGCTGCAGGGATGGCGTCATGGCTGAGAGGGACGGCCTAAGGATCCAGGTACAGCAACTCACCGTGTCCTTGGAGAACGCTGTCTCAGCTAAGGAAGGCGCTTGCAAGCGTCTGGGGTCGGAGCTGGACGCTTTGCGCCTGGAACTGGCCAGCATGGAGTTGTCAAACACCCAGCTCGTGGAGGCGCGGGCGTTTCTTGAAGCGGAGTTGAAGACTGCGGCCTCGAGGATTACTGCATTGCAGGTAAGGCCTAGCTAGGCCTAGAGCTTGTAGGCGTTGCCTAGCGCCTGATAACTTGCTTTGTCGCCTGTGGCAGGACGGCTTAACTGCCGCAACGGCGGCCTTGGAAGCTGCGGAGGGACGCGCGTCCGAACAAGCAAATGACGCCAAGCACGCGCTTTCATCCTTGTTGCTTAGCTACGATGAACTCGTGGCCCAGAACTCGGAGTTGCAAAAGAAGCTAAACGACAAGTCGGCGGACACGGACGCTTTACGCGCTGGCCTGGGGCAGGTTGCTGAAAAGCGCAAGGAAGCCGAGCGGCTAGGTGAGGCCTTGCTTGACCGATAGGAGCTATGCGGCACATTAATTTTGACTTAGTTGGTTAGCTGGTTGATTAGAGTAAGGCAAACCCAAATTTGCACGCGTCGAGGTGCTTTGCTCCTTACACACAGGTGAAGACATGGTCAGCACTGTGAACGAGCTGCGTGCGGAGCTGCTCGCTGCACAGTCATCACTGGAAGCAGCTGTGGCGAGCCGCGACGAGGTAAACCTTCTTCCAATGCGACTTGGGAAGCGGCGTAAGCATTAATGCACTGATATTTTTGCATGGTCTGCGCTCCTTTGCGTTTTGGTGGTCTCCCATGCATGCTCACGGCTTCCTGCAGGCTTCCAAGCGGTTAGCCGAGGCAGAGGCTGGGATTACCCTGTGCCAGCAGCTGCAGCTACAGGTTTCGTCCTTGCAAGCCACTGTGGCGCGGCTGACGAAAGAGGCCACGGATGCAAAGAACGCGGCAACCAATTTGGACAAGGAGGTGCAGGAGTTGCTGGATGCAAACACGTGGCTTGAATCTGAGGTGCGAAGGGTTTGCTCTTGTCGTTGCTCTTATCGCGCTACACCTGCTTCATTTATGATTTCGGGTATGTATATCGTGCAGGTACGGAAATTACGCTCGCAGCTGCAGTCGCGGCTGTCCGATATTGACCACGCAGAAGCAACAGCCATGGCAGCTCGCTTGCGTGAATCCGAGGAGCTCCGGTCGAAGCTTGAGGAGCAGGTATGCGCTGGAGTTATAGGACCTCGACAGCTTAGTGGGTTTGCAATACAACGCGATGTTAATAAATTGCAGGTGAGGGAACTTTCTCAACAAAAGCACACAACGGATGCACAGTACCGTGCGGGGACCCTCGAACGCTCGGAGCTAGAGGACAACCTCCTGGCCGCAAGGGAGGCGCATGCGCACCTTGAGGTCAAACTGGCCGAGCTTACTAAGGTGAGTACTATGGTCACCTTCCTTGAGCCGGTTCAGTTTTGTACAGCATTTGCCATTTGCTTTTATAGGTTTACAAGGAGCTCCAAGGGGAGAACCGACGTCTCGATGGCGAACTGCAAGCTGCGCAGGTGCAACTGCAGGCGTCCAGCTCTGGCCAGCGGGCCTTGCAATCTGAACTTCAAATGCTTGAGAACAGTCACCGCGTAGCCACAGAGAAGCTGCTGGAACAGATTGCAGCTTTGCAAAAGGTTGGTGCCTTCTGAGAGCCGTGGCACCGCCATTTACGTATCGGGGCAAATGAACATGGTTACTTGAAACTCCCGCAGCACTTGGGTGACGACCAGCAAACGTTTTCGCGTTTAGAGGCTTCGCTGCGGCAACGTATCCAAGAGCTTACGGACGAGGTTGAGAACCTACGGGACTCCAAAGAGGAGGTGAGGAAGTCAGAGGAGGCCAATTTTGTGTACAGTGCGTGTTGTCAAAAGGCATCGCCAAACTGCAGTTACCTCGCCTTTGAACCCTTGCACGACACGTGGACGATTGTGTATCGTGCAGTGTCAACTCATTGCCGAGCAACGTGAAGCAGAGCTCAACGCCCAGAAGTTGGCATTGCAGTCGCAGATCCACTGGTTAACGGAGGAAAACCAGCGCCTTGGGGGGGACGGCCCCGCAGCTCCACACGTCGTGCCAAGTAAGGCCTGGGTGCCCAAATGTTTTTGCGACCTGCACAAGCGTAGCGACGTGTGCGCTTATAAGCTTTCGCTCCTCTCAGACTCGGACGAGCGGCTCAAGACCTTGGAGGACGAGCTACGGCTTACCAAGCGGGCAGAGATGAAGCTCCAGGGTCTGTTGTTCCGTATCCGCAAGGACGTCGAGGACAGCATGAGCGGCCTTGACATTAAGAACCTCCTGGATGTACGCTCACTGCAGTATGACGTCGACATGCTAACGCAGAAGTGCAAGGTATGATGCAATTTCGAGCTATATGAACTGTTCGTGAGTCTTGCGTACACTGCATAATGACACGAGCTTCGCGCCCTGTCGTACACAGCGCCTCCAACGCGAGTTACAACTGCGCGATGAAACCCGCGCCCAGCTCGAGGCCCAACTTGAGCAGCAGGAGCAGCAGCTCGCGGGACTCATGCGCTCCGTCGGATCCAAGGGCATGCCGCAGCAGAGCAGCGGTCTCGGTATTCTTCTGGACAAGGAAAATATGCCGTACCGTTGATGTTGAGGCACATGGCAGCATGGCACCGACGTTCTGTTGCTCAATTAAGCTGTCTAGGGCTTCATGGTGCTCCCGCCATCGTGTGGATCTGAAGTCCTGTGGTTAGGCCTGGGTTAGGCCTGGGTTTTGACTGTCCTGCATGGACGCTGGATGCATTGAGTGTGCTGGAAATTTATGCTGTACGGTAACCGCGCGTTTTAAGGTTGTCGGACCTTATTTGTGACCAGGACAAAGGCACATCTGCAGGCGAACATCATACGACTTGCCATTAAGATTGCCGCGCCGTGGTATGTCAGAAGAAGTGCCTGGCTGGACTATCCCTTGCATGGTCGTTTCTTGCACGCGCATCCACAAAAATACTACACTTACCATTGGGCGTACAGCCAGTCCATAGCATGTGACGGAGCTGTCGAGTTCGACCATAGGCACTCCAGCTTGCGTGCCGAGCGTCTAGGAGCGCACCGTTGAAGTAACTTCAGGCGCCAGGCCATTGATTTCCCGGCCCCGCATCCAAGGATTGGTCAGCGGTTACGATACACACAGATGCACAATTTCGGGAAGCTATCATGATTACTAATAGCTCTAGGTTAACCGTACGACCCCCTGTCGCAGGACCCAAATGCTGCGGCCCCTGGCGGACCCTGTGACCAACGTTGATTGCTATAGCCGTCATTATGAACTAGTGCTGTATACATCCGCGCCTGCAAGGGTCCAAAGCCGCATAGTGCACTGTTACAGCCATACATAGGGTTTGGCACTACTGGTAATGCGCGACCATTGCCCCCGGGAGATCCCGGGATCGATACCGTTAGGGTCAAAAATCCTTCCGATGGTGGATGCGCCCCTAGTTGATGGACGGTGGTGACCTGGGATAAAGTTATCCTGCGAGCCGACCAGAAATGGAGTTGGCCCGCTGTCGACCCGGCAGATTCCGTTGGATGCTGGTGGTGGGTGCGGAACCTGAGCGATCCACTGAGAAGTTGACTAGGGTGACTGGATGAGGGTGCCCCGAAATACCGGGGAAGGCAGAGTTTCGCAGGGTAGCTGCCACGGGCGAAGATATACCCCGCAGTTTCACACATCATACATGCAAATGCGGCAAATGCTCTAGTCCACCAGCCTTTTAGGCCTTCTGCCTCAACCATCTCTTCGGCCTAACAATTAGACAATTGCAAACCGACAACGTTCACACAAAGAACCTTACATGAAGTACGACTCCACAGCAGAGCATCAAACAAAAACGTCATTTGTAATGTGCTGTGCAAACAGTAGCGCTGACCCCGTCTCCTAGGACGATGCACCTGAACGGCCGACCAATCAACACGCACCACGCGAACCGCAGGCAGACATGCGCTCTTCACATAACACGTAACAGATACAAGGCCATACCAACGGTGCTGCAGGGGCCCAGTTGTTCCCATCACGCCATGCCAATAGCAGTTGTGCCTCCACCGCCGCCCTCACGTTTCCCGACAGTATTCGCCGCTGCAGCCGCCTCCACCACTCGCAACCCCAGCATGCTTCTAATCTGCTCGCCACTTAGGGTTTCCTTCTCCATTAGCTCGGCCGCTAGGCGATGTAGCTCACGCTCGTGCTTCGTCAATACAGCCCTGGCTCGGTCGTAAGCGCCTTGCACAAGGTTTCGGACTTCTTCCTCAACCGCCGCCCGCGTCTCACTACTCATGGAATTCCCGTCGTCGTAGTCCAAAGCTACCTGCACAGTGGGCAATGCGTTCGGGCAAGAAGTGCGACGTTGCGTAAGCAGATGTGCAGGAATCAAGTTAGCATGAACTTGTCACGACCGTCATCGAAAGCCGAAAATCGGCCACACAGATGAGCTCAGCCAGAGTCTTATTACCAGCTGCGAACCCCCCTTCCACTTCGTCTTTTACAAGTTACAAGTTCCGGACAAGTGCGGCCATGGGCGGTAAATCGTTTTTAGTGCGGTTACGTGGTGGACCATCATCGTCCTCCCTCGTCCGCTTGAGCACGCAGCGCCTTAGAGCAACGTCCCGGGTCTCCCTTTACTCTTCCTTTACGTAGGGCCACTTAAGAGTAACCGCACCAAGCTCACACCGCTACCGTACCAAGGTGCTCAACGCCTGAGCTGCACGAAACACCCCTGGGCAATCGCTGCCCCAGCAGCCGACCCGGAAAGCGACCGCCAAAAACGTTCACCTCTACGCAAGGACATGCTAAGCTTCCCACCCGCCGTTCCGCACCTGGCCCAGCCGCTCGCTCATGCCGTACTTGGTTACCATAGCCCGCGCCAGAGTCGTTGCCATGCGTAGATCAGAGGAGGCCCCTGTGGTTACGTCGTTGGGCCCGAAGATCAGCTCCTCCGCCACGCGGCCGCCCATGCATACGTCCAGCCTCGCTAGCATCTGGCGCCGGGACCTGTTGACCACGTCTTCCTCTGGCAGCTGGGTCACCATACCCAGTGATAGACCTGTGGCCAGCAGTGATAAGTGAAGGTGCACATGGTGATCAATGGGCTCTACGCATGCAATCGGTGAGTGCAAGAGTGCACAACCTCAGACTTAGACGCCGGGCCGCATACTTCTATAGCTACATCGAGCATATCGCAACAATGCAGAGCTTCCTCGCTCAACCACAAGCTTCCCACCCAGAACTCTCAGACACATTACAACCTCCCATCCACACACCTACAAACCTGCCTCCTTACATGGCAACAACACAAGAATGATGCCAACCGGGCCATCACCCTCCGCTCTACCCCCCAACGAAAGCAGCCCGCCCGCCCAGGTCCCCACCTCGGGGCACAATGGTGGCCTTATGCACAGGGTCCGCTCCTTCTGTCAGCAGCGCAACCAGGGCGTGCCCGCCCTCGTGGTAGGCAGTAAGCTTCCGTGAGCTCTCACTGATGACCGCACTTTTGCGCTCAGCGCCCATCACAATGCGGTCGCGGGCGTACTCCATGCTGCGCATACCCACCTGCAGACAGCCGCGGCCGAATGGTGAAAGGGGTTAAGATAAAACTCCAAAAGAAACCATTGCTTAAGTCCAATTCATATGAATAGGATTTTTCCTACGAAACTTGCGGTCGGCAAAAATGTGGACGTTTTCCTGCGAAACTGTGCTTCAAGGGGTGGCAAGGAGCCCACAGAGCTGGAAAAGCTCGCATCGACACCAGACCCGGAATGCAGTTCATGCGGCGACATATAGGACCAGGAACAGCAAGACGAAGGGGGGTCGCAGCCATACCGCAGCAGCGGACATTCCTATTCTTTCAACCACAGATGCGTCTCTCCTGATACACACCATCACGAGGCACTAGTCCCCCGGGAACCTCTCTCCCGATTGCTTGTACGACCACCTGGCCATCATCGTCCGCAGTAACCCATAGTCACCATCGCAAACATACATTTAAAGCATTTGAGAGGCCGTACACGCAATCAGGCGACGCCATGAACGCGACCCCACCCTCATTTGAAAGGTGAGGAAATACGCACCCACCTCCTTCAGCCCCGTCTTGGCGGCGTGCAGTGCAGCCACGTTGATCAAGTTGGCCAGGTCAGCGCCGCTGAAGCCCGGCGTGGCGCGTGCGATGACTGACAGATCCAAATCCGCGCTGAACACACACATACACACAAGTGAAACGTCCGCCGCACAGGTTACAGGGCGTAGCCAACACATTGACCGCGAAACCCTACTAGGTGATAAACACCAAGTTCGCAAAGGCGCACAAAGCTGGGAAATGAGCAAAGGTCGCCGCATGCACGACATGCGGCAAGCTATTACGAAAGCTCAGACACAGTGCTGCCACCCCTTCCACAGCTGCGCACACGCAGCCCTTTGCGCTCTAAAGCTGACAACCTTACCCTAGCCTAGCTAACCTAACTATGATAAACCAGGCGGGAAAAGGTGGCACAAAACACACACGCATTCCGAGCACCCGCCCTTACCTCTTGGGAATCTTCTGCATGTGCGTCTCCAGGATTTGCTTGCGCCCCTCCACATCTGGGTTGGGAACCACGACGTGTCGGTCGAAGCGCCCTGGCCGCACAAGCGCCTTATCCAGCACCTCGGCGAAGTTGGTGGCCGCCACCACGATGATGCCCTCCGTAGCCTGAAGAGCAACTCGACCCCATGCAACACATCGGCCAAAGCGTACAGCACGAAAGAGTACGTAATACCAGTGCTGTCGTACGGTCCGAATTACACGTTACATAGTGTTGTACACAAATGCATATCAGAATGCGAGATGAGAATGAATGCACGGAAGGTAGTAGGCCGTGCGTTTGTCCCACAGGGGGGACTTGTCGCAAGCGGGGAGAGTAGTTCACACGAGGAGAGTAATTACAATTGTAGTGCTGTCGAAGCCGCCGCCTCTCATCTTGCATTACACATTGCGCTGAGTCTTGCATTGAGCCCAGTGCAGCGCTGCTAGGGTTCCACTCCATCCGCATGTATTCGGACTTTCTTGCTGCTCCCACCTTGAATCCGTCCAGTTCCACAAGCAGCTGGTTGAGCGTCATGCGCATGTACTGCTGGTCCTTGGGGTTGCGGTTGCCGCCGATGGCGTCGATCTCGTCAATGAAGATGATGCACGGCGCATGCTTCTTGGCGGCGGTGAACAGGTCACGTACGCGTCGCGCGCCCACGCCCACAAACACCTCCTCGAATTCCGAACCCGAGCAGTAAAAAAACGGCACACCCGCTTCACCTGCATCCCGGCAAACATGTTGATGCGGGGTTAAGGCACCCTCCTAACGCGACTCAATGGACCTGGTGGAGAGCGGACAACAAATCATGATAAAACGACCCCCTAACGTGTGGATGGTGGGGCTGGTTGGTTGGGGTGAAGCAGAGGAATACATTTAGAGCTCAAAAGCCCACTTTGGGGATATGGGGGAAAGCATGCGGATAGATGACGCATAGCATGGTCCTGGCAAACAGATCAACATGTACAACGCAACATATGGCCAAGCTTGTCGCTGGGGTAATCCTCCTGCCATATAGCTCCTTACAACACTGCCGTGTGTGACCTAGGCGGGCTCCCAGGGAGGTCAACGGGGAGCGCTTGAGGGCAACAGCCCAGGGAAGAAAACCCGTATCCACTTAGGGATTTGCGCACCCACCCACTTATCCAATGCGTAGGCGAGCCTCCACATGGTACCGCACCCGGCGGTGCTTTCAGTAGAACCACAACACCCCGATAAATAACCAGTGAGCCAAGACAGGAAGCATACCCGGTGAGAGCGGACGGGTGCATGGATAGGGATAGGGACATCATCCCCGCAGGCTTACCTGCAATCGCGCGGGCCAGCATTGTCTTTCCCGTGCCCGGAGGCCCCACCTGCGGCAACATATCCCGCAAGAGGAGGTGGAGGAAGAGGAGGAAGATGGAGGTCATGGATAATACATTGCCGGCCACTGCATTGTAAAAGCAAATAGTACTTTAGGACAGCGAAATGACGGCAAGTTGTTAGGTCGCTTAGACGTCGCCACAGCGACGGCGGTCGATGGATTGAACTTTGAGCTGAGTCACCGCCTGGGTTGCGAACCCCCAACTCCCCATTGCTACTTCACACCGGCCCAGACCGGCAGCTGCGTCGCCGCGTGTGTGGCCCACCGGGAACCCCCTCCCCCACTGAGAGCCAGTTGACCCTCCCCTCCCCTCCCCTCCCCCCTCAGGGCGCCCCGAAGCTCTTCCCCCTTAACCCTTTCCGCTCAAGTTTTGTCCAAGAATAACTCCGTTTAACGGTCCCGCTACTACTTGGTTATCACCTTATTTATATTTATATAATCTGGTTTTCGTAGCTTTTTTAATATCTCCTACTTAGCTTCTATATGCCCCCTCCCCACCCCATCTCAGCGACGCCGGTGGGCCTGGGCCGCACTGGCCAGCCAGGTAACCAGCACCCGCAGTCAGCCTCCAGACTCATCCATTCACCCGCTGCATACCACCACCAACTCCCGACCAATAACACCCTACCCAGCCCCACCCACCAGCAGCACTCCTTTCGGAAGTTTTCCACCCAGGTTGGTGAACTTGTGCGGGTCACGAAGGTACTCCACGATCTCCTCCAGCTCGTGCTACGTGGCGAAAATGGGAGCGGTGAAGTGATGCGCAAGAATGCAAAGCGGAAACTGTTGGATGCCGATTCAGGGGGCTGGCACGTGAGCGTGATCCAGCCATGGGAGGGAACATCCCCAGAGAAAGGAACGGCCCGGGGTTCGATCAGGCTGAAAGGAGTGGCCGACCGGCGCCTGCCCATTAAACACACCTGCCGTCCAACGCTGAGTTTGCCCTTGCGTCGGTGCGGCCTCTTCCAGAGCACTTCTAGAAAGGAAAAGACGCGCGCACATGCGTACGTACCTGACCTGCACGCGCGTTTGTTTGAATGAACCCACGTCGTGCACTACATTACAGCCCCTTCCTTTCATTATCCACACACCGATGGTTCACTGCGAGAGCCACATAACACACAGCCGGGCTCTCCAGCACCACAACACCCCACCTGCCCTCCATCACGCACCGCCGTACCCGCCCCCAACCATCCCGTCACCCACCCGACCCACCTTAGCCTCGTCAACCCCCTTCACGTCCGCGAACCGTGTCGAGCTGTTCATCTGCGGCTTCAAGTCCGGGTTGTTCAGAAAGGACTTGGTGAGTCCCTTGTCGTCCAGCAGGGTGCCCAGACAGGTCACCAGGATGAAGGCGCCACCCAGAGTGCGGACCGTGCGCCACATCTGTGCACGCACGCACACACACACACATGCACGCCCCAAGGGGTTGTTCTGCATTCTGCAGTTGACTCTGGCCGCCCACCACTCATTAGTAATCCTTCGGTGCTAAAGCACCGCCCTTAAGTCATCTTCTTTGTCAGCAAGTTTAGCAAGAAATCACTTCAGGTCGGCCGGACACCAGCCGCACGGGAAGCGGGCGGGAGCGAGAGCGGAAAGAGACGCAGGCGACAGGGCATCACAGGCATCAAACAGAGCCCCCAGATGAGACCCAAATGCAAATGCGGATGAGACCCAGATGGGACTGAGCTGAAGAATGAGAGACGGTGTGGAGGGAAGAAACTCCCCGGGGTGAAGGTTTGGGATGTTGGGGTTGTTGGGGTTCCGCTTGCCAGGCTTCGTCGCCTTCCGCTTCCGTTCCTTCTGCTCTTTCCCCCATCCTTCCCTAAGAGCCTGGTGGACGGATTAGATGAACGGACTGGGGCGGGGTAAGAAGGATCACTGACGATTGAAGCAGATACCAGAGATAGACGGATATAGGCCAGGAGAAGGCAAATGCTGCATCGGGAATATTTACTGACCCATGATGACTTGAATAGTGGTCTTGCGTGGCGGCGACGTGGCTAGCTAGGTTGCGAAACGAGTTACAACGGACTGGGGGCTCCCTGGCCGATTGGAATCCGTGACCGCGGTCCGTGAGGCCCGAGGGGCGCCCACCTGGCACCTAGGCTCCACCGCACCTGACTAGAGAAGCTGGGCTCCGCGAAGGTCATGACGAGAGGATTCTTGGGCGAACCCAGTACGCCCTCAGCAGCGGCCCCGGCAGCGCTGCCGCTGCCGCCGAGGGCTGCGGCCCCGGCGGCGCCCAGGGCTGGACCTGCGGCGAAACCGGGCCCTCCCGCCGACCCGGAGCCATAGTAGCCGCCACCGCCCGAGCCGGCGCCGCTGCCCCAGCTGCTTGTGTAGCTGCTGCTACTCGGGGCGTAATCCGCGGCTTGACGGACGGCGCCGCTGCCGCCAAGCCCAGAGCCTCGCTACGTGACGTATGACATCGAGGGGCAGGGGCACACGCTACGGGTGTTGCTGAAGCCTGTGACAAGGGGTGTCTGTGCTATATCGCGTCGTTGCCGCTGGGAGCAATATGCGCTTGCCTTTTTGTGGTAATTGTATCGCCGTAACCCGCTCATGTGAACACTTGTCTGAACTGAAGCCCCAAAGTCCGGATGGATCTCTATCGTACCTGTGTTAGAGCGTGGAAGCGCGCTGTGTCTAGTCTATCAAGCCGTGTAAGAGCTTTGACATATTCGGCCAGCGTCTCCGGGGTGTTCGCAACACGGTTTTGCTCGAACATGCTGACAACTGCCTCATGCTGGCCAAGTCTGTTCAGAGTACGAAGATGCTCAGCTCCCTGGCAGCGGAAGGAAAAAAGTGATAACGCGCTGCATTTTCACTGCAATCCATTAAAGCGGTCTGTTCCGAATCCCACCTCGTCCGCAACTCTCGTGTGGTAGACCCTACGCCCGCATTTCAGAGCTTCAGAAAGTTCTTTACGTCCTCCTTTACGAGAAATTATGAATTGGAGTGCTTGTCGCGCCGTCCGCATGCTCAGCTAACGGCGCCTGAACTTTTTGTGGCTTAATGTTACGAAGGTTTGTAACAAAACTAAGTAGTGAAATGAATGTGCATGAGAGCAAGGAAGGATGGCGCATAAAGCGATATGGGAACCGGTGCGTCAGTTGTCCTGGCAAACGGCATGTGCGCATGGCATGCCTGTCGTACATCAAGAGCACTACTCCTCCGCACAGCACGACACGCACCCAGATGGCGGCAACATATAGCGCTAGCTACACCTACTCAAACTTTACCATAGAATTTGCATGGCGATCTGCGGGCCCTTTTCAGATTGTAGCCAACGGAAGCTCTAGGGCCGTGCATTGGAATCTAAGGCTCCTTCTAAAACGACCCGCTGACTTAGAAGTACCACCATCATCACCTCCACAACGTCATCCTCCATTCCAGACGGCACTGAGTCCATAGAAAAGCACTGTCCAGAGTTCGCAGCCCCGCAGCATGCATTGAAATCAGTACCGGTAACAAGCAACAGCACCGGCCCCAGAAGAACCGCATGCGATGCCTGGAAACATAGCAGCATAGCATGTGCCTGTCATGGTGCAGCGAAACACTTTGTGAAGTCTTTTCATCTGCGCATCCATTCCATGTTAGGGCCGGCGCACTTCCGGCTTGCGTGGACGGCAAATGGCAAAATGGAAGGCGGGGCGTCCGGCCCGCACGCCTTCCCTGGATGGCCGGTCCGCCCAAAAGTCAGCCAGGTAGACAGGGAAGCCAGAAGCATGCACAAGCTCTTGCATCACTGCAACCTCCTCCTGCTGGTCAAGGCCAGCCTGACCTGCACCTCGAGTTGAAGGAGCAGGTGCCTTTTCCAGGCGGCCGTACATTACTCCCCCAGCGGCGGCAGTGGCCGGACGGGTTCGGCGCCAGGGCTCACCAGGCTGCTGTCATTGCAAAGGCGAGGATAGGCAACGTCAATGCCGTGTAAAGCAACGCCAGGCTCGCAATTTCGTCGTCCTGCCGTGCAGCGGACTGCTCACCCGCGCCGCCCTGGCTGCGACGGTAGCGCAGCCACTGCTGCACCTGCCGCTCGTATGCGGCGGGATCCACGGACGGATCGGGCATGCCGGGAGGCGGCATGTACCCAGCACCCGCCTTGCCGGCCCGGCGCTGCAGGTCCGCCCACAGCTCGGGACTCTCTGCCAACAGGTTCCGGAGCTCAGGGTCGCGGCTGACTAGGGCTTCGGCCCAAGGGGGAAGGGGAGTTGTCGACGAGGCGCCCGGGGACGGTCGCAACGGCGGCGGCGGCGGCGGCGGGCGGGTGCCCTGAAACGAGGAATCCACGTCCAGGCCGCGTGGTGGGCCCTGGGGAGCTGGAGGAGGGGGTGGGGGTGGGGGCGGTGGGGACGTCCTTGGTGGCCGTCCCCGCAAAGCTGGCCACCGCCAGCGACTCTGCTCAAACAGCAGGTCTGCAGCTGGATCCGGATGCTCTGCGCTGCCGTTTTCGGGGCCTCGGCCGCGCTGCTGAGCATAAGCAACAAGAGCACGGTTCGACAGATGGCCCCCTGAACGCCGTGCCGGCGAAGACCGTCGCCATCGCTGTGATCCCTGCTGCGGAGCACTAAACCATATATATGGGGAATGCACTGATGTGGTGCCGCTGTTGCACTTGGCGATTGAGCAACTGGAACACGGTGTTGTAGCCATTTTTGCAAGGCTTGATTTTCAACAGTGCCTCGCAGCCGATCAAAAGCGGGGTGTTATATATGCTAATTGCAGCACAATTACCACACGCCTAGCCTCCATATGTTCAGGTCCAATCCGACAGTGGGGTTGATACTAGCACCTTAGCGCCGGCAGCTCACGTTGAAAATATAAATTTCTACATAACCGGAAGGCAAGTTAGTGAGCAGGATAATTGCACAGAACTAAGGCAGCTGATGGTTAGGTGCGGGAAATTTATGCATAACGGACCTACAAGTGTCGGGAGTTGTCATACAAGCAGAACCGCAGAAGTGATACTATGTTTATGCACAGAAATGCCATTATTAAGTACATGTTATCGTAGTCAGTGTAGCAAAGTTAGCCGATAGCGACGTGAGCTTGTGGGCGGATAGAAGGTTACACGTCACACGTCCATGGCTTTCGACTTGCATTGCTGTTCCTTAACCTGTCTATGTTTGTAACACATGAAACCTAGAAGGACTCAACTTGAATGGACTTCGCGCGGCCCGACGCAGTTGAGGCATTCCTACATTTGCACGTCTACAAAGCGCTCCAGGTCGGTCCCAAGCTGCACTCGTATCCCAAACCCCGCCCATGCATCGGCAAATACCTGGTACAGAGAACCAGGAAGAGGAACCGGTGGACGCACTTGCCTGGGCAAACCGATGCGTTCTCCCTGCAGGAGACGGGCGTGTGTGGTGCAACAGTATGCGTGGCGAAGCTAGGACGCTACTCATTCAGCATCCCCAATTGCTATGGGTATGGCGGCGGGGACTGATCAGGACATCCACCGTACGGTTAGCAGTGACAGTGTTTTGTGCTGTAAAAACTAAGTCCCCAAGCCAACTCCAGCTCCCGGGTATCACCAGAAAAACGCTGCCATAGGACGCCTCAACCACGGAGCCCATGGCGAGCTCCTGCCTGTCTGCGTGCTTTCTCCCCAAGCGTCCTGCTTGCTCACCTCATACCTTGCTTCTGTCCTGCCTACCTGCCTCTCCATCCACCTGCCTTGCTAGTGGGTGGTTCGCTGAACAGAAGGTACAGAACGTACTCCATACTCCATGTATACACTAACCTCCCCTGCTCGCCTGTGCGCCATATCCGGGTCTGAACTTCCCCTCTCCACCGAAGGATCCCCGTTCCCCACCCACTCACCCCTACCTCGCCTGCACTCACGTGTCCCACACGGTTCATCAGCTTTGCCGACCCGGCTCGTGGTGTAGTGCTGGACCCGCGGTCCTCACTCTTCGACCTGGGGGGATGTGCCAAAGTGCTGGCGGCGTTGGCGCTACTGCAGCTGCTACAGGTGGGTGGGGCAGGGGCTGGGCGGGATCAGAACGCGGCACCGGGGGCGAGAAGTACGGCGACCAGGGGCGAAAGGGGGACAATTACCGGACTCAGTGTTGGTACCACAGCTACGGCAGTAGCAACAGTAGCTATTGTTGCTGCTACTGCTAACGGCACCGGTTTTGTAGCGCTTTTGTAGTGGTGGTTTGCTGCTGCTGCTGCTGCTGCTGCTACTGCTGCCGCCCTCGCCACTTCATTAGTGTGATGTGCTACTGCCAGCCGTTGGATCCAGGCAGTGACCGCGGCGGTCGCCTAGCATTCTGAATTTATGATGAATGAATGCCGACGTGACTACACGGGTATTATCACGGATGGATGCTCCTGGTGTTACCGTACATAACCGTACTTACGCAACCTCAGGAGGGCGGTCTTCCCGTGGCTACAGACATCAACTCGTTGCTGCCCCCGGAACTCAAGGTGCGGCGGGGTGGGGACTGGGGAGCCCTCCCGCGCTGGGAGGGGCTGCCCGTGCGGGGAGGGTGGAAACCCTAAGTCAACCGCATCCGCACCTGCCGGTTTCCCCCGGGTCCAAAACGACCCCACTTTCTTTTGCGCAATTTGTGTCACTTTCCGGGTCACACAGCGTTTTAGTAGAGACCTCCGCCGTCTCTTAATATGCTTCACTGCCTGCCTGGGCGTTTTGGTGATTGATGTTCGACACATTTTTAATCACGCAGACAAACGTCGACATGAAGTCCCGATCCCCGGCCCGCCTCTGTGAGTCCCAACCCTGACGTACGGTGCCGTATCCGTGCTGTACAGGTTGATACTTCACGGCATGGGAGAGTCACTGTACAGCACTTGCTGACTCACACGTCAGGATTGCAACACGGAGGTTGCGGAGGTGGAAGTGGAGGTGTTGGCGGCGACCGGGGCGCTGCTGCGGGCGGTGGGACTGCTGCGGAGGGCGGCTCGGTGAGCTGCCCGCTCCGAGGAGGGGGGGAGGGCCGTTGGGGGGGCCCCCCCCTGGCTTCCGGTATGATGGTTCCGGTATCTTGTCCCTCCCTACCCTGCAGCAGCAGCCTTCCCTCTACTTCTTCCCCCCTCGCTCTCCCTCTTTCTCCCCCTCTCGCCCTCCCGCCTGCCCCGTATCTCCCCCGTTCTTGCACTACGACACATGTACGAAACCCCCGTTCCGCGCCGCGCTGTCTCACCCCCAACCCCCGGCTGCATGCTGTGCACCCCGCTGCGAACCCCGCTCGGGGTCCCGGGGCAGTCGGCGGCGGCGGCGGCGGTGTCCGTGATGTCCCCCCGGTCCGCAGGAGAACGACACCAGCAGCAACAGCAGCAGCAACAGCCGAGTTCAGGTCCTTCGGGCTGTAGTCCGGTGCGTTCCTTGGACGGGATGCTGATGGCGATGATAATGATGACGGTGTTGATAATGTGATGATGTAGTACATTGAAGTTAATGATATGTTATCATAAAGGTAATGGTAGTGTCGATGATAATAGCGGTAATGATGGTGATGACGGCGCTGAAAATTTGATGATGATGGAGAATGTTCATGCCCACAGGGTCGCGAGCGCGTGAAGACTGTTGTGATGTCGTACATGCTCGCCCAACCGGTGCACGCAGCTAAACCCCCCGGGACGTACAGGTGAGCCAGGGACGGTATTTTTATAACCATAAAACAAAATATATATATTACTTTGTATTGCCGTACAAAGGACGACTTGGGCCTGCCGCCCTGACCTTCCCTGGACTGCTCGTGTGCGAGTCGGCTGTTGAGACGCTTCGCCCAGCCCCTCTATACCCTTTCTGCTATCTCACTCTCTGGTCCGGCATATGCAAGGGTGGGATGCCGTGTCGGTTAAGTCGGTTGCCAATGTCGGTTGAGGTGGTTTATTACCATGGCCATGTTGGTGTTCCTTCGCCGAGAGCGGGAATATGCGCTCGTCTACGCGAGGGGGCTCCGTTGTTCCGTTGTTTTGTTTTGCGTCCTCCACGTCCTCCACGTGGCGCCAAGCGGCCATCTCGCCACGCTGCATCGCTACTACACACCACACCAGACCACACACCACAACTCCGCCCTTCCCGAGCCGCCTCCTACGGCCCACAACCGCCTCAGCCCCCTCTTCCGGGGTGTCATCTCGCGTCTCTAGGAAACAGCGGCGGGTCGGTCGGGGGAGGGGTTACTGAGGGCGGCCATTGCCGCAGCCGCGTGCACCTCCACCTCCACAGCCCCGCACAGCCCGTGGCGATTCACGCCGGTCGACCCACTTCCACATCACGTGCTTCCAACCCCGTTGCCTAAACAGGCCACATGACCTGGATTACATGCTCATCGGCGCCATCATAGAACACCTAACCGGCGAGTCGTACGACACGTACGTCAAAGATGTCTTGCTGGAACCGCTAGGCGTACGGCTACCGCCGCAGCCCAGAGACCCACGGGTCGGCTACGAGAACGGCGCCAGTGCAGCCAATGCGACGACACCGGGGGATGTGGCGAATGGCTCATTACCGAATGACAGGCGGCCGAGTGTGTTTGTGCAAGTGGGACAGCGGGTTCTGGAGCAGGCGCGGGTTCGGGCGCTGGAGCAGGGCCGACCCGTGGGTCTGTCGGATTGCAGTGGCAATACAGGAGGCGCGGGACCGGAGGCGTTGAGTTCCCTTCAGGAGAATCCAGCGAGACCAGGGACTACTCCTGACAAGAAGTGCGTGGCGGGCGGGGCAAAGTCATGCGGCTGGGGCTCAGGCTGAGGCCTGCTCGTTCGAAATGCCCCCCCCCACATACATACATACACACACACGCACCATCTTCATCCCCGCACAGCTACTGCCGTACACACGTCTTTTGGTATTGGCATAAGTGGTATCTCCTTCCTCCTACTACACGGCCCTTGGTTGCCGCCAATGGTCTCTTGCCTGTTGTTGTTTAGTGTTTGCCAGCATTACTCGGCCGTACTGGCACGGGAGAAACAAAACCAGCAAACCGTCCTCTGGCAGGAGGAGCCAGAGGACCTCCCCCCGACCTAACAGCACCAATGTGCTGTTGGTCTTGTGTCTCGACGCCTTATGGCCCCCTCGCGGTGCCGCTACCGGGCCGCTTCCTCTGCACGGGGACCCACCCCCCCACCCCAACCCCACCAACCCCCCGGGGCCCCTCCGTAGGGTATTGGCGCGCTACGACCCGCCGCCGCTGACCCCCGTGGGCGGCCTGGTGCTCACCACGGAGGACATCTCCCGAATGCTGCCGCTGCTGCTGCACAACTCCGCAGCTGCAGGTGGGGATCCGGATCCGGGGGCTGGTGGCAGCGGAGGCCTGGGCCGGAGCTTGCTGTCAAGTGAGTGAGTGAATGTATGTATCTGCCTGTGAGTGAGTGAGTGTGAGAGACGTACAGGAAAGGGGAGGAGCGACCGAATTGTGGGCTCCGTCCCCCTTCCCGCCCCTCGCCGCCGTGTATTCCGCTCACGACATGCCGGGCTGCCCCGACTGCCCTCACTGCCCGGGCCGCCCTGGTTCCTTCAGAAGTAGTTTCCGGACTGGTCTGCTTCAGGACGGTAAGCGCGAAGGGCTCCTAATCCCTGGCCCACCCATCCCTTCCTGCACCCAACCTGCAGGCCTGTACGAGATTCGGTTGTACGACTTCATTAAGGTACGAGCAGCTGTCGTGACCGTTGCCGCTGACGTGACTGTTACAAGTGCAGCAGCAGCATACGCAGAAGCCGCAGTAGGCGTCCTTCCTTTCCGCACCCTCACCCACACCCGCACCGAAATAATCCCACCAAGATACCGCATGTACGGCTCCCTACTCCTACTGCTCCTACGGCTCCTTCTACTGCGACTGCCATCACAGCCACCACAACCACAAGTGCTGTTTTTGCACCTTTCGTCACAGGATGTGGGCGTCGCGTATGGCGGGTTGGTGTCCCTGGGCTTGGGTCGCTGTGGCGACCGGGTGGTGTCTTGCGAGAGCCCCCCGCCGCCCCCCAGCACACGGGAGCTGGCCCTCACCGCCCAGGCGGCGGCGCAGGCAGCACGGGCGGCTGCATTGGAGGAGGCCGCTCGGGCTGGGCAGGGGGAGGAGGAGGGGGAGGGGGAGCAGGGGGCCGATGGGAAGGAGGCTCCTCTCGCCTCCGCTCCCAGACTACAGAGCGACCAGCCAGCGCCGTTATTGCGAGTAGGGGCTCCAGGGGAGGTGGCCGACCGTTCAGCAGACGAACCAGGATTGCCTGAACAGGACACCCAACAACAGCAGAAGCAGAGGCAGCAGCAGCAGCGGGGGGAAGAGCAACAGGGGCTGTCGCCTGCAACATGCGGTGACAGTGATGGTGGTGGCGACAGTGGTGGTGCGGTCCCCCCCGACCTGCCGTCCCTGGTCCATCCCTGTTTGCTGCTGGTGGCCCCGGAGGGCGGCCTGGCGCTGGTGGTGTGCTGCAACACGGCGGGGCCGCAGGGGGCGGCGTTCTGCCGCAGCGTGAGCGGGGGAGAGCTCACCGGGGACGGGAGGGGGGGAGGGGGGGAGGGGGCCATAGCCCATGATAACTAGGGGCTGGTCGAGCAAGCTCTGTGCGGAGTGGCGCCCGGGTTGGGTTTGAGACCGGGTATGGTAAGTGGGTTGTGGTGGGGCATTGTGGGGTGCGCAAGCAACCGTTATTTTAAATGATTGTCATCGCGGCTGGGGTTGTCGTCCCCAGAACAGATAAACCGCTATCGCTGACGTGAGGCTGCGTTCTGAACCCCCCCTCCCGGGGCTCTCTCTGTCCTCCGTCGAAGCAACGGAGGATAGGAGGACGACAGGACGACAGAGAGGAGCATGTAATTCGGGAATAAAGCTATCATAACATTCTGACAGCGACCTTAACTCCCGACCCCGACCCCGACCCCTGTCCCGACCCCGATCCCGACCCCTGCCCCGCTCCGGCTCCCGTGCGGCGTCCAGGTGGCCACGAAGCTTCTGGAGCGGTACCGCCCAGCCGAGTTGCCTAGATCTGTCGTACGCTCCTGGCTGGCTGCCGTACCGCCGCCGCGGCAGGACGCCATCGTGCATCTGGCGGTATTTCCTCCCGCCTGCTGCCTGAACCCCACTACCTATTTTGATGGGTGGCAGCTGTCCATGCCGGACTTCATCAAAGTAGGTTTGGAGACGTGTTAAAAAAAGGAGGGAGGCGGGAGTTGAACCGGGGAGTACGGGGCAGGGGGTACGACTTAACGGCGTGTCAGGATGTCAGGAAACGGGTTTTGAACACATCATGGCTGATAAGGCTGCAACTGGGGGAAGTGAGGGGGGCCTCGCTCCGGCGGCGTGCGGACCGGGGCCAGTGAGGATAGGGAGCAGGAGACACGAAAACCCTAAAGCCCTACTACCCCGCCGTGTCGCACCCCCTACCCGCCTGCCCCCTCCCTTCGGCCCACCGGCCTCCCCCAGCTGCATTGCCTGCAAGCTCCAGGCCACGGCACTCGCCGCCACGAGCCGTGCGAGCAGCAGCGTCTGCCTAAGCTGGTGCCCCCCGCAGCAGCGGCCCTGCTGGCTGGGGTGCCCGCGGACAGCCCCCTTGCGCTTTTCGGTCATGGCTTGGGGGCGCTCTGGGCGTTTGAGGTGGCTCGTCGCATGGAGGGGCTCTACCAGCGGCAGCTGCTGCACCTCTTTGTGTGCGCCTGCGCCGCACCGACATGCTTCCCACCTGCTCGCGGCGGGGACGGAGGAGGGGCAGGGGAGGGGGGGGGAGGCGGCGGTTCCGTGCGAAGGTGGGTATCCGCGGATGTCTTCTGCCAAGGGGGCGTGCGGCGAACCAACCTATGCACGGCCCAACGGTCTTCAACTGCACAGCACGGCAGAGTGCAGCACAGCACACAGCAGCCCCACGCGGCGACTCCCGCTGCATGCCTGTGTTTGCGTTTTTGTAAACCCTAAGAACCCTAAGAACCCCTGAGAAGTCCTTCCCTTGATGGTAGTGTCGATATACTTTTGGCGATGTTGTCACACGGTGGTGGTGTAGCGATGGCGGAACTGAGGTGAAGGTATGTCTTGCCCTCTGTGTGTGTCTGTGCCTATTTCTGTCTGTCTGTCTGTCTGTCTGTGTGTCTGTGTGTAAGTCATTACGCAGGTTTCAAACCTGGTGGATTCCGGATCAACAGCGGCAGCAGCTATTGCTTCAGAAGCAGTACCAGGAACAGATGCTACAGCAGTTTCAGACACTGCCCCGACAGCCGTCGCTGCCCGCGGATCGCCCCGGGACGTCGGCGCGGGGGCCACCACCACTACCGGGGTCGCCAGCGTCTGAGAGCAGCAAAGGCAAGGGGGACCTTCCCGAGCTGTACGAACTTAATGACGAGCTTTTCATCACGTCATGCCGTAATCACCCGCGCTTTCCTCGTCAACTGAGACACGACATCAAGGCGATTTTGGTGAGTTAGTTCGAAGCTTCCAGACGTGGACTGGGGGCCCAGGATCCCGGCGGAGGATTTATGGCTGCGGCAAGGCCATGGCTGTGGGAGTCAGTGACACAAGCCCCCGTCTTCTGTGTATATGCATGTATGTATGTATGTATGTATGTATGTATGTATGTATGTATGTATGTATGTATGTATGTATGTATGTATGTATGTATGTATGTATGTATGTATGTATGTATGTATGTATGTATGTATGTATGTATGTATGTATGTATGCATCTCATGTCCCTCAGGACCACCTGCCACTTCTCCGGGCGGACATTGAGACGGAGCTCCGGTACAACTTCCTGCCGCCCACACCCAGCCTCTGTCCCTCCGTGGCTGCAGTACTGGCAAGCGTCCAAAACAAGTAAGGAGTGGATTGCCTTTGTCAGCGGGGAGGTGGAGGGAGAAAACGAGGCTGGGTAAAGAAGTTAACTCCGGAAAGGCTTTGCGGTCTCTGTGGATGACGTGGGGTGGGCGGATGCGTGGATGATATATGGTCACAGCGGTGGGCCCCACCTAGACATCCAAGGGGAGGGGTCTGAAAAGTGGGGTTAAGGGAGGCGTAGCAGTACACCACACACCACGCAGACGAGGTTACCGTGTGCCGTGTTTGCGTTGCCGAACTGGCGCCGTCTTGTGCCGTACAGGGCTGACGAGGAGACTCGCATCAGTCAGGGGCTGCTGTCGTGTCCCATCACTGTGCTGATTCCGGAAAGGGAGACGGCGCTGGGGCCAGATGTGACGGCCGGCTGGGAGCAGGTACGTACGACATGCTGCTTATGTATATGTATAGCACTTTTGTGGCCGGGGATCGTTGCTAACCTTGCCCGCTCGTCCGTTCCTTCGCACAAGACACATACACACACCCACACGCCCGCTTTGTCCCGCTATTGCGGAGAGTTGTTCCGCTCAACCGCCATGGGGGAGCCTTCCCCACAGGCGCCCCAACTCCTGGCCAGCCGGGGCCGTTATCCAGCTGCAAATGGGTCCACATGACCGTTACACACACACACACGGACACACACACATATTCTTTGTGTGCTTGTCTCTTCCCGACAACTGCCCCGCCCTCCATTTTTCAGTCCTGTTTCCATACCCCCCACCCATCCCCCACGCCTGCCCTCCCCCCTTGCAGGTGACCACCGGTCCGGTTCGTTTCCTGTCCGTGGGGGGTGACTACCACTGTCTGGAGGAACGCAGTACCCGGGGCCAGGTGGTGGCGGCCATAACGGGGGCACTGGGGCGCCAGATGTCCGTACACACGCCGTGGCTGGGCAAGCTGAGACCCGAGCGGGCGGGGGGCAGGTGGGCGGGGCCGGGCGGCGGCGGCCGGCCCAGCGGGGGCAACAGTCGACCTACCTCCGCTTTGGTCGGCTATGGCGGTGTGGGGTAGACGGCGGGAAAGGATGCAAACCGGGCATTGGAGCGCCGTGGCATTGGAGAGACTCATATGGCAGGACGCATGGGCGGCAGAGGGTGCAGGGGGCTGGGACCCTGGGGGGGTGTCGCATGGAAGTGATCAGCCGTAGGAAGAATGCAGTTGGGTTGTAATCGAAAGAAAAAACGGGAACAATATACTATATACAGACAAGGCGCTTTAGGAATTCGGAGTTAGCGGAATTAGAGGAATTAGGACACGCGGTTTCGTCCGGTGGGAGCTGTGAACGGTGCTGTGGAGGACGGCGGGAGAAGAGAACGGCGCGGGGTGTCCATGGCTGCTGTAATTTTGGTGATGTTGGGTTGAAGTGGGACGTTCCGAGCAGGCCTCCCCGTGCTGAGCACTGAGAGTGGTGGATAAAGCATCAAGGTGGTTGATGTATCATGCTTTGTAACATGATGCGCGGGTGTGGGAGCTTAACAGGTAGATTCGCCGAAGGTGGGAGGATGCGGGTAGTGTTCAGGGGAGGGGTGGGGTAGGCAGGCGCCATCTGGTGCAAACACACCGTGTCAGGTAGCGCATACCTGGGGAAACGTCCGTGGGGAAGAGATACCGCATATGTCAAGTTGCGTAGCTAGGGTAACGAGCAGCGGTTAGAGGGCTGTCTTCGCTTAATTGTGTGATGTTTGGGAGGTGAGAGGGGGGGGTGCCAGGAGTAGTCTCCGGAGGGCCGTGTGGCAATGGCGATTCCCACGAATCAAGGACGGCTGCTATTACAACCGTGCAAAAGTTCACCTGGCACTCTTTTGGAATCCTTTCCATGTATCATTCCCGTGTGCACCTGGTGCCAATTGAATCATATACATTGACTTGTTGATATGAGGCATTATGCACCACCTATATCAGATAGATATGGCAAAACTGCCTCCTGTGTCTTGGGGCTCCTCTCCCTTGCAAGAGCGGCGACCGCCTGCCGTTCAAATGGACCACCCATGTACAACGGATCCACTCATGCCCGGATTACCAAGTTACAAGTTCCGCACAAATGGGGGGCCCCCTCTGTAAAGGGCGAAAGGGGGCCATGGACGGTCACTAGCCATTATTGCGGCGCCGAGTGAGGATATAGGAAACTGTTAGCACACGATGCCCATCTGCATCGAGCCGCTTAGATAACTCCTTAAGAATATCATCAATGGGCGTAATGAGCCCATCCAAGTCCCTGCAGGCCCTCACAGGGTATGGGGGGCTAACGGCCCCACACCGGCCAGGAAGGCGAGGACCTTTCCTGGCCAGCAATCAGTGATATCCTCAACCGCCCGGCCAAAGTCCGAAACCAACGCTCGGTGGCACATTATGTATGTCCGGGGCCTCGTCACCATGGAGTTCGTTCCAAAACCTAGGAACAAGGCTAGCCAAAGGATATGCAGAGGCCTCTGAGATAGCTCATCACGGTAGGAAAAGCTTGTCATGGTGGGATTTCGCGCACCTACCACAGATCGCATGAATGCACACGCTGCTCCTTGACCGTAGGATTAGTCATAGCGCGTTTGAAGCTCGCTTTAATGGAGTCGGGGACCCTGTTACTGCCAAAGCTCGTGAGATTGTGCGAGGAGGGAGCGCATCATTGGGGCCGCTCCCCTCGGGCCTTCTTCGCTCTGCGTTCGCTGTGTCTGTGCGCATGCCAAGTACTAGTAGTCCATGTAACAAACATACACCAACGATGGTAACATACACCAATACATGTATCAAGAGGTCTATTAGTGCCTCATATGCCTCATATATGCACGTAAATGAATGTGCGGAGCGAAAAGTGTAAAAAGCGGCAGACACGGTCTATATATTAGTTGCCAGTCGCTATTCCCCAGGGACCTGCCAAAACTCTTCCCTCTCTCATCCTTCTCCCCCTCACCTCCCTCTCCACCTCGACGCCATAGTCACCATCGTGACCTACCGTCATCAATTTCGCCCTCTGCACCATATCAAACCCACTGGATAACAGTGTTCTGTCCGGTTCCGTTCCCGGCACAGCCCTCGGTAGCAGCGAACGTACACTCGGGACACGTCGTCGTCGTCGTCGTCGTCGTCGATCTGCCTTCGGCTGCGGCTGCTGCGGCCTGCGGCTGAGCTTTATCGTAGGCGCACGAAAGCGCAACGCACTCGCATAGCACAAGTTCGACCCTCCGAGCGCACACCCCACATCACATCTCACCCTGGTGTTCCAGGCAAACAGACGGACAAACAAACAGGACAGACAGACCGACAAACAAACAGGACAGACAGACCGACAAAGGACTCTCCGTCATCTTGCATGTGGCGGCCCCCTCTACCTTCGCCGCCACTTCCACGTCTCTCATCTTGACGGCCCCGGGAGCGCCGCTGCTGTGTTCCGGTCATAGTGGTGGGAAGGGTGGGAAGGGTGAAACGAAGGAAAAGCCAGAGTACCAAGTGAAGAGTCAATATAAAGCGACATGGCGGCGGGACTGGAGTTACGTGTGAAGGGGGTGCGGAATCTGGGCGCAGTAAAGTTAACCCCAAACTAACTCTCTGCAGGACAGGACTGCGGAAAATCCGATGGCAATCATCACAGTGTTCTTGTTATAAGAAATAATTTCGAAATTGGGATTTGGGCTTGGAATAAATTGTGCATTTTCATTTAGTTCATGTAAAAATGACGGACAGCTCTTAGGTTTAGGAAACAAGTTTAGGGAACAGTATCTGAAGGCCATGGATGGTCGTTGAAAGGTCACGCCCGTGAGTCAACGCGGCATAGCAGCGTATATGACTGTTCAAACACAGCAAAGCACGCGCAAGCCAAGGAATCCAACCTTCAAAGCGGCAAGATACGCCAGCAGGAATCACTCCGGACGAGGGCGTTTTAACGATGGTGCGAGAGGAGAGGGCACGATGGCGCGAACGAATGACACTGAGAACTGCACCATCTGCGTGCGGCTCTGGGTTTGCGAGGAGACGTGCAACTTATCCGGGGGGGTGGGAGGGCCCCCGGAGCCCCCCCCAGCGCCTCACAGCTAAGTAATACATCGCACAAAAACCTGGAAATCTAAAATTTGATGATAAGTATTAAAAAGGGGCCCTAAGGCCATAAATGAAAGCAAGACACTGGTGCATCGTCAGGGAATTGATGGACGCATGAGCTTAGAATATAATAAGCTACAGCCTCCACGCACCCGCTTGCGTGCTCGTCCCAGCCGTCGCTGTGGCGCCGGCAGTAGCACCAGCAGCAGTAGCAGCAGTACCCTCCGCACCACTCCCCACAGCACTGGCAGCTGAGCCTGTGTTTGTGCTTGAACCCGTGGCCGCGGTACCAGCGTCGGCGCCGCCGCCGGTCTGTGCCAGAGCTGCGCCATCCGCCGTTGTTGAGTTGGCCGTTGGCGGCGGCGGCGGCGAGGGATCTGGCGGCATGACGGGCACCAGGTGCTTGATGCGGGACTCCACCGCCTCTCCTAGCCTGCGTATGCGAGGACGGGGATTTGCGGGTTTGCAATGGAAAAGGTGCGACAAGTTAAATACAATGACAGGAGGAGTTGGGGGAGGAGGAGATACGGTTTCAGCCCGGGCAGCGGGGTGCGGGTGCAGTATGGTAAAAGAGGGCTGAGGGTCTCGCTCCCTGGAAAGAAACGGAAATGAAAAGGAGCAGACCCATTCAAGTATGAGAGCTTCTTCTTCTTCTTCTTCCCCTTACGTTTTGTCGTCGAAGCCGCCAAAGAAATTCTCCGGGTCCTTGATATGCCACACCTGATGGGCCATGGGAAGAACGACAGGATGGGGGTGAGGCCAAGGGATCATATAAGATTTGAAGGCAGAAGCACTGGGCCAGGGCAGTGCGCGCATGCGCAGGCGTCCCCCTTTGCGGGACGGATATGACAACAGAGCCATCAAATGAATTACTTGGTACCCGTCCAGGTATCCTAATCCCGCCTAATCCATCCCACGCAACAACAACAACAAAACACACACATACACCCGTTCTGCCGGGGCAGCACTACGGCGATGGAACCAACTCGTGAATTTGTCCTGCGGGTCACGTCCCCAAGAAAACCCGTCCCATCCCCATTCGCCCTCGGTGGTCGCCCCCCTCACCTTGATCGCCCAGTAGGGCTTCAGCACCTCCCTGAGCGCTCTTTCCGTCAGGTTGGCCGGCAGCACCACCACCAGACCGCCCTCCTGAACCACATACTTCTCCATGGGCTGGGAGATACCCTGCGTGGCCGATACACAAAAAAGGAACGAGTGGGCGATACGCAAAACGCCAGAAAGGAAGGAGGCACGGGAAAACATGGACAAAAAGTTACCAAACCTTACATCCGCACACCAGCCCCGCCCTCACCCCTGACTTACCGGCTTGCTGTAGAACGTCACCCGGGACCTCTTCACCCAGCCGGGACACCGGGGGTTCTCCAGGAAGGAGTGCTCCCGCCACCGCACCTGACATGAGCCCGGGAGCAACAGAGGCGGAGGAGGAGGAGGCAGAGGCGGCGGAGGCGGCGGGGGAGGAGGCGGCGGCGGCGGCGGAGGAGGAGGAGGCGAGGCGGAGGAGGAAACGTACGCAACAAGGGGTGAGGGGGAGAGGCAGAGGCAGCAGAGGCAGTGCTCAATGACATTCCAAACAGCGTATGAGGTTAAATCATATCAGGCCAGATCAGGCAACATCAGACCAGGCCTATGCATGTTTCTCATCTCAGCACCAGCAACAAGAGCACCCCTCGTTATCTTCCCACAAGGCCTCCACACACTCCCACCCTCTCCAACATACAACCCCGGGGTCTCGCAGGGGGGTACACGCCACCGGGGTACCTTGAAGGGGCTCGCGTCATCGTCCATGAAGATGGGGTCCAGCACGTGGTCCATGGGGCACATGAAGGGGATGCGGGTCTGGAAAGCACCTACATTCATACATACATACATTCATACATACATACATATATGCAAGCGGGTGTGGGATACGCGCTGAAAGATTTCTTACGGTTCGAATCTGCTTACCCTTTTCCCCCCCCCCCTTGGCTAGCCTGCTCTCGACCCCACTAGTCCTCACAGTTGTTTCACTTCTTGCGGTCCTCTTGCGGGATCCTTGCGTTTCCACGTAGAGAGGGAGGCCCCTTCATTCCTAACGGACCTTATATTGCTCTACTAAAGGTCGCGACATGCAAATATAAAACCAGCCAGCTCCGCCCAATCCACACCCCAACCCAAATCTCCCCCCAGTAGCATCAACATCAACATCAGCATCAGCATCAGAGCAGTATCAGTAGCAGTAGCAGCATCAGAGCAGTATCAGTAGCAGTATCAGTAGCAGTATCAGTATCAGTATCATCAATAGTACTAGCAGTATCAGTAGCACCTAAAATGACGCGACATACCCGGCACTCTGCACTTGTCAAGCTCGGTCCAGTACTTGTCGCAATAGCACGCCAGCTTGGGGATGATGATGCTGCGGTTGGTGATCGCTGCCACACGGACACCCGGCCACACCTGAAGGAAAAACACCGACACGACAAAACACGGCACGGTCATGACACGGCACAGTTGTGCAGGCAGTGAAAAGGGGTAGGAAGAGGGCCCAGGGTGCGCACGTAAGGATGACATCATCTATGTAATTCTCTCGCGTGACGGGGGTGAAGGCCAGCATGCGCCCTTCTCCACTTACCTCATACCCTCACCTCTCTAGTCCCTTACCCCCCCTTCCGTGTCTCGGCCCCTAGCCACCGCCTCCCCGTTTTCCCCCCCACCCGTCTGGTATCCCACATTCCCTGGCCCCCCGCTCCCCCCCCCTCGTCAGCCTGCCCGGCCCCTCCCTCCTCACCGCCTCCAGCTGCAGGTCCAGACCCCGGAAGTGGTACCTCTTCATGGCGCTGTTGTTCTTGGCGCTGTGCTCGGACCAGGTGGCGGAGGGGACCCGCCGGAGCTCCACACTCACAAACAGGTCGTCTGGAGGAGGGGCGGGAGGCAGGAGGGTCGGGGGGAGCGGCAAGTGGGAGGAGGCAATCCCAAACACAGGAGCGTAATATGGGGAGGTGCAGGGGTGCGGGGCCCGGGGGGTGTTGAGGGGGCTCAGGGAACCGGGGGGCCTGCGAGGGAAATGAGATGTGTGGGGTGTGGGGTGTGGGGTGGTGAGCGTAAAGGAACCGACACGCTCGGGTGCCAATCGACTATCTTCCGCTCGCCTGAATGAACTTAAACAACACTGCAGTATCAGCAGCAGCCAGAGGACATACACATCGTGCTCCCCCTGCTCATACTACGCTCCGTCCCCTGCTGTACCCTACCCGTATAATACGATGGCGGGTCCTCAAACAGCATCGCCTCCCGAAGGCGGTTGCGCTTTCCCGGGTTGGCGCCGTATTGAAATGTACAGTGTACGGCGTATGGCGTCACGCGTTGCACCTACACACATGAATTTACATTACAGATTCACGTTGGCAACGGCCCAGCAAATAACCAATGCATTGGTACTTGTACATGTGTATTTATGTATGTATGTGTGTCTGTACATGATGAAGGTGCCACAACTGTTGAGGGGGCCCCGTACTGCAGCTGCTGCAGTGCCTCCTTCTCCCCTTTACTCCTACCTCGTTCTCCCCTTCCGAGAGCCGAGTGCGCATGCCAGGAACGAAGTAAGTGACCCCCCTGGGTGTGGGTGTGGGTGTCGGGGGAGGACCTGGACATTACCGCCCCAGCTGCTACAGCTTGGGACAACACGACAGCTGATGCCGGTTTCACTGTCGTAAGCAACCCATGTAACCCCCCTGTGCTGCTGGCGCCCCTCCCTGCCCTCCCCGTTCTCCCACCCCCTGCCCCCACCTCGTAAAGCCTCTGTACGTAGTATGTATGTCCGCCGGAGAATGACGCCACCGGCAGCACCCCCACCGCCAGAGTGCCATTGGCCCCCATGAACACACGCTTCTGGTTGGGGTGAACCTGCGGGGCGGGGCCCGGGTTTCGGGGTGGGGGCCGGGGGAAGGTCTGGAGGAGCTGCTATCACGAGGAGGAAACTGAGACCCGCCGACTCTTCAGGCCAGACGCAGTGCGGGAAGAGATGGATGAAAACACAAACACGCGTCACAAGACAGCTGCGGGGGTGGAGAGGTGAGGGCACGGAAGGTCTCCCCAAAGCTGTACCTAACAGCGCATCGTGACGCCCCAGGCATCATTAGCCGATGCGGAGCAGAGGGCGAGCCCTCCCCGGGGTCGGGGTCGGGGTCGGGAAAGAGAAGGGCCTTAGGGGTCTTGCAAAGGCCGTCCGGAATACTCCCCTCTCTCGGGCCCCCCCCGGCGCGGAAGGAAAAGGGCGCACCGGAAACCCGCACACGGCCCAGCTCCCAGTCAAGCTGGACATAACGAGGGCTTTGGGAGCACATGGGAGTGGGGGAGTGGAGGCTGTGATGGGCTTCCCATCCCTCTCCACCTCCCCTTTCCTGCCTCTCTTCCCGCACCTCACACTCCCACCTTGTTCACGGGGTCCCAACCCTGACGAGCCAGGTCGTTGAAGGCGTTCTGGTCCCTGACGTGGACGAGGGGGAAGCGGCCAACAGGGAGGGCCAACGGAAGGGGGTTTGGTGGGGGTAACGACATGAGACAGACAGACAGACAGACAGACATGGCAGGCAGACACATGTACATACATACGCGCACTCTCCCTCCTTAAGATAGCAGGGGGGAGAACGTGTTGGGTCCTCAATAGCAGTGTGGGCAGTGAGCACCCGCCCCCTCTTCCCCCTTCCTCCCCCTTCCTCCCCCCCTTCCTCCCCCCCTTCCTCCCCCCCGCCCCCTTACCAGTACTGCGGGTCCGCGTTGATGGCAGCCAGCCAGGAGTCAACGAACGTAACGGTGCGGTCGGAATACCTGTCCGTACAGGGGCAGTCAGAAAATGGATTGTTGTCCAACACGCCCCCAAAGCCAGCTGCCGATGTCCAGAGGGGTAGTGAAGAAGGGAGGGGTCTCCCCGCGTTCTCTCCTCCACCCCGCCATGCGACACTTGTAGATTCTTGTATCGTTTCTTTTACTCCCCCTCCCGCCCCCTTTATCAATACACACACATGCACGTTGGTCTAGCTGCCAGTGGTGAAGCCAACCCTGAGCGCCATCCCCTCTCCAGTTCCCGCCGCCCGCTCACATCAACCAAAAACCCCCCTCTCTCTCCCTCTCTCCTCGCACCTCTCTCTTTTCCCCCCCCCTCCTCTTCCCTCCCTCCCCTCCTCTTTCCCCCCCCCTCCTCTTCCCTCCCTCCCCTCCTCTTCCCTCCCTCCCCTCCTCTTCCCTCCCTCCCCTCCTCTTCCCTCCCTCCCCTCCTCTTCCCTCCCTCCCCTCCTCTTCCCTCCCTCCCCTCCTCTTCCCTCCCTCCCCTCCTCTTCCCTCCCTCCCCTCCTCTTCCCTCCCTCCCCTACTCTTCCCTCCCTCCCCTACTCTTCCCCCACCTGAAGAACATTAGTCCAATGTTCATGGGCGCCTGGGCCTGCTCCGGCATCTCCAGCCCCGCATCCCCCGGCTCCAGGGTGGAGGCCAACTGGTCGGAAGTGACCAGGATGTCCGCCTGATTGGGGGACGTGTGTGGTGTATGGGAGTGTGTGTGGGGGGAGAGGAGGGATGGGGGTTGGGGGGATCAGGTGCGAGAAGCAACGTGTCAACATGGGGGTGTGGGTGCCGTGTGCGAAATGTACAGCAAGGATACAGTCACGCTGTCCAAAAATTGGTGGCGTAGGTTGGGCTGGACCGGACCGGACTGGGTTGGGCTGGGTTACACCTTTCGTCTCTTTCCTTCTTCTCTCCCTCTCAGCTTTATTGAATAATCACACGCATCTGAGTACACACATACATACATACATACATACATACATACATACGTACCTGGGGATATCGCCCAAAGTACTCCATTACGTCTCCCAGCAGCATCACATCCTGATCAGGGGGCAGAGGAAAAGGGAGGAGGAGTGGAGGGAGGCGCAGAGAGACTGTTTCGGGGGGGGGGGGTATGCAGCAAATTCGCTGACAATGCGGGGCGTGAATGGGGAGAACCATATGATGCAAGCAGAATGCAAGAAATGTTCAACGCCCTCCCTGCCCGCCCTCCTCGTCCCCCGTCGTCGTCCCTCCCTCCTCCCGCCTCACCACGTCCACCAGCAGCAGATCCAAACCCAAACCCAGGAACAGCTGGGCCAGGGTAATCTTCTGGCGACCCTGGGGGGCCCGGGGGAGGGGGAGATAAGACGGACCACGGGGAGGGGGAGAGGGAGGGGAGAGCGGAGGCCCGGAGGGAGGGAAAGTAGGAAACACACAGTGAGTGGCGGGCGGAGGGCGGGGTAGAGGGGCCCCGGAGGGTGGCGGAGGGGACGAGGGAGAAAACCGTGTCTCGTGTGAAGACGGCCACCAAACTACGGAAACGTGGGAAAGCTTTATTCAGGGGGAGGGGGGGAAAGACGAACCACGAACGAGTGAAGCTGCTGCCAGGGCAAGGGAGGGGGGGAGTGCGTCTCCTGCTTCTTCCCCACTCTTCTCCCCATCGCCCCACCTCACTCCACCCCACCCCGCCATTTTCCGTTCCGCGTCCACTCGAGGGCCGCCAAATCTTCCGCCCTTCTCCCGTCCCCGTTGTGCCCCACCCCCACCCCCAGCCCCTCTGTTGCGACATTGCTCTGGACTCCAGCTGCAGTGGGTGCCCTGGAGGACGTCCTCGTTGGTGGACATTTCACCATCACCAATTAATCCCTCCATCTCCCTCCTCATCTCCAACCCCCTCCTCACCTCCAACCCCCTCCACCCAACCCCCCCGTCACGTGCCCCCACCATTTTATGGAAGGCCTCCCCCCCCCACTGCAGGTGGTCCGCCCCCACACCCGAGTGGTTCGACCCCCCGGAGTACATGGCGAAGCAGGGGACACCGGCCGCCACCAGCTCACTGCCGATCTGGGCGTCCATAGCCCCCACAAGGAAGTTGTCAAGGCCTAGGGAACAGCGGGAAAGACGGGGGGAAGGAGAGGCGGAGGGAGAGCGGGAGGGAGGGGCAGGAAGGGGAATACATGCAAAGTCCCGGAAACAAGGCCACTGGGCTGGGAGTTATTTGATGCAATGTTGATGCAATGTCATGGCCAAGATACTAGAGGCATGCGACCTAAGGGGCTGGGGTGGGGTTAAGGGGGTAAAGACGAACCACGAACGAGTGAAGCTGCTGCCAAGGAAAGAGGGGGTCCGGGAAATCATTTGGTGGTGCAACACGAGCGAGCCAGGAAGGGGGGAGGGGGAGAAGTATGAAGAGCAGCAGCGGGAAGGGGCGGAATCGGAGAAAGTGGGCCCCTGGTTGGGAGGTTTTAGGGGGTTTAGGGTTTAGGGCTTCCTGCAAGGTGTGTGTGTGTGTATTATGTGGCGGTGGTAGTGGTGGCGGTGAGGGGTTACGGTGGCAGGTCGTCCCCACTCACGTCTTCCTCACTCACTCACCCACTTCCTTGGTGTGGGAGATCCAGGTCTTGACGAAATCCCACAGCGCAAAGTTGGCCCACCTGCAGGACCGGGACCGGGACCGCGACCGGGGCCGAGAATGAAGAGCATTATACAACATTGCGCAGCATAGTATGGGAACTTCACAGCGCAGTACCGTACGGCATACGCAACGCAGCAAACACGGCGCGCTGAAAGGACTGGGAGGTTGGCCGTACAGCCCGCCCGGCAGATGACATCATACACGATACCACTCAGCACAAGGCCGTATCACACTCGACGACAACCCCTGCCCCTCTCACCCCCCCCCTCTCACCCCACCCTACACCCCCCCCCTCCCAGCCCCTCTCCCAGCCCACCCCGGGTGACCCACGTGACAATGACAGCTCCCCCCCTGGCTACACTCTGTGCCAGCTCTTTACTGATCTGGGGCGCCTGGCCATCCACCACGAAGCTCTTCCAGCTGGGCTGCTGCTGCTGCTGCTGCTGGGGGAGGGAGGAGGGGCTGCCCTTGGCCTGGTCTTGGCCTGCTCCCGTTGCCGCTGCGGAGGCTGTAGTAATGGAGGTTGAAGGGGATAACCCATGGGACACTTCCATGAGAGATGGGGCCGTCAGCCCGTGGGTAACACCGCTGTGGGTGGCGGTGGTGGTGGTGGTGCTTGGGCAGACAGGGCAGTCGCGCTGCGGTGGGCAGGAGAGGGGGTCGCTGTCCAAGTGCTGCCTGTGTGGGGGGTCGGTAGGATAGAGGCGGCGAAGACGTGAGTAAACACGACGACGACAACGACGACGACGACGACGACGACGACAAAAAAAAGTAAAAGAAGAAGGGAAAGGAGTTAAGAGGTTTGCGGGGGACGGAAAGAGGGGTTGTAGAGGGAAAGGTTTAGGGAAATGGTGTGAGGTGAGTTGGTGAGTTGAGGTGAGGTCACGGCAAATGGAGCGAGAGTACGGGTTGTCCACGCGCTGTTGGAGCTGTTGGAGCTGTTTGAATCCGGAATCACACACGACAATCATGTGCATACAACAGCAATGGCTGAAGGTTGGGGAAGGCAGCGGCCGGTGCCGGGACTGTAATGGTGCCGGGAACTGTTGGGCTGTCAAGACGCATCCGTAGCAGTAATAATACGATGATGCACAAAAACGAAATTGTGTAGAAGCAGATTCCACGCGAGGTCATCCATTTGTTCGTTAGCCTGACGTCTTACACAAACCAACATTGTTTTGCTTGTGCACAGGAAATCTCCGGGCCCTCTCCGAAACCCCTGTACGGCATACCGGAGGACGTTGTCGGCGCCTCCTTGGGCGGACGCCCTCATGGCCGCAAGGAACTCGGCCTCGCTGCCGGCTGCCTTGGCGGCTGCCCACACGGCATGCCAGTTCATCCGGTTGTGGGCCACCAGGCGGTGGTCATCTGTGGGGGTTGAGGAGGGGCCGGGTGGGGGGAGTTAAAGGGGGGAGAGGGAGGGAGAGGGTGCGTGTGGGTTTGTGTAGTCGAATCCTATGGCGTGTCCTAAGGAAGCACACCTCCCGGAGCGCAGGACCCGGACTGCGACAGGTCCGTCCGTCGCAACAGAATGGAGGGGGATTGGGAGTGGTGAAGGGAAAGATGGCGTTGCACGGGTGGGGAGGAAGGAGGGGAAGGAGGGGAAGGAGGGGAAGGAGGAGAACACGGAACACGAGACGATTGTGGAAGCGGAGGAACGGAAGGCAAAGGGAGCTGCTTGGTTCCAGAAAAGGTGGTGCGCGAGCGGAATAATTGGTTTGGAGCAGCATTTCAAATCCAGTACGATATGGACGACACAGCCTTCCAAGCCACATGGCAGGCTCGTGCTAGGAGTTGATTAATATGGCAGAAGTGCAACTTGCTTTCAAATAAAGCTATACAGGACGAACGCGGATGTGTAGACCTGACGGATCGGCTAAAGGTTTGGAGCCGCCGAAAGAGCGCGTCGTTGCGCCAAATTCGGTGCGTGTGGACGACAGCAGACGGCAGCCCCCTCCCACAGACCCCCTTTTTCCTCAAGCATCAATGCTGCTGGCGGTGCGTGCACACGTACCTCTGAGAAGTAGATCCAAATGAACAGCACGCGACAGGCGATGTTGCTGTGGGAAATTACAAGGCAGGCTTAGCGTCAGAACAGGCCAGCGCTGCAACAGCCTCCATAACAGCGGCAACCCGCACCAACGGACAGATTACACAATACATGCGCCAACTTCCCAACCTGGTGGTACGATGTGTACAGGAGGAAGACAAGCGCTAAGGCGCCCAACACAAACAAAAGCTGGGGCCGCAAGAGCTGCATATTGACTAATTCATATACAAAGTGGTCAGATCAAACAATTTATAAATCAAATTTGTTGGTGAGTAATGGCTTTTCTGCCGTTGGAGATGTAAACAATTGCATTGCTGTTGAGCGGACAGCGATCCATCTAGCCAAAGGCCATTTCCAGGGTCGTCTGAAGGTAGCGGGACAAATGCGCTACTTGGTTGCAGTAGTCTTTTCGGTGAGACATGGAAGTTCTCAGTACTCGTGATGTACGACTGTCGACTAACGAACAGTTAGGGTTCTTAACCATTTAAACCCGGTTGCAAGTACAAGTTACCATAACGACTTTCCAAACAATTAAGGGCTTAATCAGGTCCAGAAATCGCAACTGTGCCGCAGAAACGAACCCGACTCAAAAGGTAACCCAACGTACGGGTTTACGGGAGTCCCCGGGTTTCTGGACGCCAAAGCTATCGGAAAGGTGGTGCAGTATGCAGCAGCTGCAGGAAGAACTCTGCTATGTCACGAGGCGCACCTGTGTGCGGTCGCTCCGCTGCAGGACACTTCATTTGTGCACACAGCTGCAGCACGACGACCGCCCAGTAGCCCCACTGCGGCATGAAGGCCGCCCAAAGACCGCCAATTGCAGGCCGCGAAGGATTAGGACACTTAATTCAACTTCTAAGGCTTGCGGAAACGAAATGAACTGAACTCGCATTACAGTCGACCCGACGGAACTCTCAGGCGCTTCACCTTCCTGCTATGCTGCTATGATCACGGTCCCCTTAATAAGGCAGACGCAGCGCGCGGCATCGATCCTTTCGGACCCGTGCCCGATGTTCACACCGGATGTATCCCCCATCTCCACGAATACATCTGGCGGACGCTAAAACACGCACAAACAACCCGAACCTTTGTCTGATGCTCCTAGGCCATGCGGTAGGGGTGTAGGTATTGGAGCGGAACTCCAAAGCGCACCGAAAAAATATATGTTTATTTATCCGCTTGGTTTCCCCCTGCGGAAGGCGCCCCCGCCCGCTGCTACTGCAGGTCCCAAAGGTTGGCAACTTGCTTCGCTTGACGAAGTAAGGTGTTGTCAGTTCACGCATCCGTCCGCACAACCGTCCGCCCAAAAGACGAGCGGTTACGGCGGTTACTTTGCGTTACTTCTGAGTTGCGAAGGTACGCAGGGCTGGTTGACATCATGGCCATTTTAGTTGACCGCTGCGGCAAGGAGGAAAAAGAAGGGAACTGGAAGCTTGAGGTTCTGGAGGGCATTCGGAGCAAGATTTTGGACAACATGGATGCGGACCGGGGTGGAAATGCCCCATGATCAGGCAGACCAAGCTAGCTAGCACCGCCGTGCGGCAGTGCAGCGACCCGCGGGGGTTGCCCCGGAGCTCCCTGCGGTTCACCTCCTTGCCTCACGCTTACCATTGACGTCGAATCACCAAGTACGTTTCAGCATATGAAACATACCAATCAGGAGGACGTAGGGAGATTGCTAAGCTTGCTAGTCGTCTTGTCGGGTGTAGTCGTTTGTGTGGAAAGCCAAATGGCCGTCAATGTGTTGAAGCAAGATGAGCCTTCGAGAACCACCTAGAGTGATAAAGCTCCACACGGCGCACTTGCTAATGCAAGCGTGTCATATCGATCGCCACCAAGAGGGCGACTGAGTCAATTTCCATGCGCTCTCGTTCCAGGACACACGAGCGGTTCGACAGGAGCAGCGTTGCCGACATACTCACACACACACATACGCAGACACACCACACACAAACACAGACACAGGCACAGACACGCACGCCGGCCTCTGAGTGTGGTTTGTTCCATCGCGTTCCATACAGGAGGTTTGGATCATGCAAAATTCGCGTGTAAAATCCCGTAAAGGTGGGCGACATCGTGCGTTAGCTTTACCTTGTACCTGTGCGGACAACTCGAATCTCTTCGTAAAAAATCTGGTGTCAATAGACAGGCCCGCAGCAACTGCAGAGAAATTGCGCCCTTTATCCATTTTGGAAAATCTGATGTAATATTTCTCGCAATTAAAATTCAAAAGCTGAAAGACCAGCAAGGTGTTTAAGCAGCCTCTCGCACAATCGTGTCCGGTCGTGCTGTGCCGAATAAACGGTCCGTACAAGACGCCCCAAAAGCCAGGAGCGAATTTTACCGCGCGGATGCGCGCGTGCGATTCTCAAAATGCGCGGGTACATGTGTACAAGTGTACCTCCGCTTTTCGGATGAAGCGGAGGTACGATTGATGTTATCGGTACGGGGCATCGGGACATGTCGAGGCGCGGCAAGAGGAGAGGAAGGAGCAGGCGGCGGAGATACCTCATGAAATTTACAGCTCTATGCTTTGCCATCTTCCATTACAGCGTCAAGAGACTTCCTTATCAAGTTTGTCATCTTCCATTACAGGGTCAAAAGACTTACTTATCAGGATTTGAGAGGACCAGCTATGCAAGTCAGTGCTTGCGAATGTTAGCCAGTCCCATTCGAGCTTTGGAAAACAGCCTTTCCTGTGCAATGTTTACACTCTTCGACGCACGTCGACGCATTTTCTTGTGGGAGAGTGTTGCAGTAGGGACATCGATGCCCATCACGGTTAGGTTGGTCATACATTATCAGGGTTGACTAGCCCTTCAGCGAACGTGCAACAGCAGCTGCTGCAGCCGCTGCTTGGTCATCCATGCAGCTCTGACACATACTTGGTTGTACTGAACGTCGGTGCCTCTCTGCGGGCGTCGGTGCCCTGGTCTGCGGACGTCACACAAGATATCGCTCATAAGCAGAAGTCCATTATAAATTGCCGAATCGCTTGTGAGGAAAGATGACTCTCGGGGGAGGGAATTCCTTCCGCAGCAAGCCGCGCTTTACTTTTATACTCCGATATTGCTATCTTTGTTGTAAACATTACGCTTTCATGTATTCCGCTTAAGGATCACTCTGCGACTGTGTCCTTCGCTGCGGCCGATTCAGTGCTAACTTACGTCGCGCCGCCTGGTTTAGTGTGTTTGCAAAAAATGCTTAAAAAATACAGCTGACCCGCAGGCATCCTCCAAAGATAGTGAAAACGCTAGGCACCGAGCGGTCAAATGCGTAGCTGGCAAACTGGACAGAGAATTCTCACATACAGCCGGGTTAGGTGAGATTTGCAACCATTTTATATGCCGTTCGTATATGGATTTGCTTGCGTTACGTAAATCGGGGAAAAAACCGGTAGGCGGGTCCGGTACCGACGGCAAGTTCAAAGAATACGCCATCATCCTGTGCCACTGTTAATTCCTAGACTTTCCTGTTGCTCATCACTGGGCTACAGTTTAGTTTTCTTCATGACATGAAGGCCCGCTTGGGACGGTGAGACAGTGTTACTAATATCCTCATCCATAGGTAAATGTTGTCAGGATTTTTATGTACTCAAAGAGGTTTGTATGAGCTTTTCCCATGATGTTTGTTTTTGGCCGTTTACAAGGGGTCAAGATGACATTACTCCAGACTTCTCCATCTTGGAGGCCTAACAATTGACAATGGCACTCTATCATGCAGCTGATTTATTAGGTCGTCGCCTGGAGGGCAGAAGTATTTGTCAGATGAGGCTGACAAATGTACGGCAAGGTGTATTTGACCTAAGCAAGCGTTGGCGAAGCGACAACATACACAAATAGCAATAATCTTTTTGGGAAGCATTAAAATGGGTCTATATCTGGTCCTCGGGACCTCTGAAGGGGCACACACACTGTATCAGCTGTGCTTTCTTATCACATGTCATGCCACCCTTTAACCGAACGCTCTCCTAGAGTACACACTGAAAGGTAAATACCATCTTCTGCGTAGCCATTTTGCAAATTCTGTGACCCCGCCCCGGAAACCCGATGCTTACCTAAGCAGCGGCGCTTCACAACGTAAAGAAGCTAGCTGAGAAGACGTTGCATCATTTAAGGTATGCAAAATAAACCCCAAGAAGAGCTCAATTGCCAAAGTGCCGTATATCTTACAAATCTGTTTACTTTTCACACGCTCCCCGTCCTTGCAGGCGCTCTGAGTCATGCTGCTCGCAAATCTAATGGCATGAATGCTGGCCACGGCGAGGCTCCTCACGTTTGTGTCTTCGCAACATTTGAGCCGCTGGCCCCTTGCATGTCGTCGCCGTCAGCCCAGGGGCCCGCTCAACATGTGCTCGACTTGGGAGACGCAGTACAGCGGAACTATCCTCATGCAAGCCAAGCACTTCACTTGAGAGCTGCCGCAGCAAGTGGACCCATGGTAATCTCGGGAAGGGGTCTTGAGTTTTGCAGTCAGTGCTCCCGCCTGTTCACTCAATATCTAGAAACATAACTTAGCGTATTTGGTTTTTTTATTCTTCCCTGTCATTGACTTCCTTGCAAGCCTAGTCCACCTTCATCATGCAGTCCCTCCTTCCCGTCACGTTGGGAATGTTGTGATCTTATCAAACCACAAAAAACAACAGTAACAATTATAAGGGGCATTTTGCGCATTAACGATTATTGGGGTTGGTGCGTATTCATCCTTTTTGAATAGCGCTTTCGGTTAAGCCTTGCTTTGGCTGTCCTAGCATCTCTTAATCGACGAGCCCTTTTCTTCGCAGGGCCACACCCTGCCCACCGGTGTCACCGCGACGACCCAGGACCTTATCGGCTTAAATTCGCATGCCCTCCAGGGCCCCTATTTCGGTTCCCATGGGATGCCGCCGACAAGGTCGGTTTACGCACGCCTCCCAATGCCCGCGCAACGTACGAGTGAGAGCAGCAGCGCAGCCAGTGGCAGCGAAAGTCCATTTGCGTTCCAGGTAAGAATCCGTCAAAGCTTAGGTCCCTCGCTAGGATACCCGCATGAACGAGCTTCGTTGCGCGAGCAGGGTCATGCATCGTTCCATTTCTCGAAATGGCTTAATGCATGCAATGTCCTGATGCTGCCTGCAGGAGGAGAACAAACCAACAAAATAGCTACCATTTTATCATTTGAAATTGCCATAACGTCTCTTGTCCTTTTTCTGTCATCCCTTTTCCGAGACCCGACGACCCCCGTCTTCTCCCCCATTCGCGTTCCCAGCCCGGGACCGTCTCTGGGTTAGCTTGGTCTTTCCTGAACCCCCCCTCTCTCCCCCGCCTCAATCTCTGGCATCCCCTTCGCGCGCTCAGGGTTTGAACGGGAGCACGCTAGTGCCCCCGGGAGATGAACACACTGACGCGTTGTTCCAGAGCTTGATGAGTATGCCCACCAAGGCAGTCCCGCAGCATCCACATCAGCCGCAACAACAGCAACTACAACATCATCAACATCATCATCATCAACAACAACAACAGACATCTGGCAGGCTGCCTGATGGGGGCAGGGCAGCAAGCGGCGACCCCTCGCGCGGCCGCTTGACAGGCTTGGGAACAGCACCGCCGCCGCCGCCACCGCCGCCGTGTGGTGCAGTCGACGTCCTCCTCGCGCGAGCCCTCGGGGGCCCCGGGCAGCTAGGATTTGGCGCGGGTGGTGATGGTGGTAAGTAAAATAACTACAGCCCTTTTTGCCAAGGAGGAGGAAGTGCCGCATTCAATGCCGCCTTCACGCTGAGGCGCCTTGCGTCTTCTTGGGGGCTTGAACGGGATGGGGTGTATGCCGGGCAAACGCGATCCGGTCCCTCAGGTCGCTCAGCTCTGACACGGCGCTCTGTTGCGTCCCACTCCTTGCTCGCAGGTTCCCGAGGATCCCAAGCCCCTCCTCTTGCCTTGTACCGCGATGAGGATGGGCAGCTGCCAAGACCCATGCGCCATGCAGCAGCCGCCAACGTGCTGTCGTACGACAACACCTTGCTGCAATGCCATCGCGCGGCGTCTGCCGCCACCGCAGCGACAGCAGCGGGATTGTCAGCCGATGTCAAGAATGGCATTGCGCTGGTCCGGCAACAGCTCGAGCAGCTGGAGCATGGCGGTGCGATGCCTTCCACTCTGCCCCGGCTCTCGGCTCTACCGGAATTTCCGATGGGTTTCGTCCCGCCCGACCTTTCGCCCCGACCGCCGCCGCTTCTTACAGCACTTTCAGAAACAACAGCAGAAATCGAGGCTCATCATTTACGTGGCCAGGACGCGATGTTTGAAGGGGGTACGCGGCAGCTAGCTGGGGGTCGGGTCGCCGCGCCAGGCGTAGTGGCGAACCAGGGGCTTCACCAGCAGCACCACCATCAGGGCTTTCCGCACCAGCAAAAGCCAATGCAGCAGGGCGTTACCGATGCGGTTGCAGCCGTTGCAGCTCCTGCAACTCAACAACGGCATCATCAACGATGGCAGCCGCCAATGCCCCATCAGCGGCACCATCCGGAACATCAGCTGCAGGCGGGTGACAGGACCATGCGAGATGCGCAGATTGCAATGGTGGGTGCAACCGCAGGTACTGCTGGGCCCCGCCCTGCGATGATGGCGACGACGGCTTCGGCCGTAGCAAGAAAAGATTGGGACGACGGCATCCAGATAGGCGCGGCAGCAGCAGCGGGGGTCAATAATCGAAGCGGTGGCGCCGACGGCGACGGCATCGGCACTTCGTCGGCTCGTCAGCGCCGCCGTACGCACATTGCGGGGACATATGGGGTTCAGTCGGTCACAGTGGAGAAGGATGCGTCGAGCGAGGGGCAAGTCGCGGGGGAAAAGGAAGCATGCAACAGCAGTATCGGTACGGCGCCGGGGGTTGATGATGGCGGCGGCAAAGGAGCCTCATGCAGAAATGGTCCAACAGGCAGTGTGGGCGGACTGTCTGGCCGCGACGTGGAACCGCGAGCCATCGACCACCAAGGTGAGCACCCTGTACTTGGGCTGTACGGATAATGATCGCGCACCGGAGCAGTTCTAAATTTTTTTCCTAGAGGCTATTCCGGATTCGGATCCGCGTGTCGCAAAGAAATATTTGTGTATTTAAAATTTATCTAACTAGTGTAATTTTATGTAACACGGGATGGGAGTCTGTTATACTGTACGTGTGGGATGGAGTTCATGAATTATGCCGCCAAGGAGTTTGATGACCTCTGCTTCGGCAGCCCCAACGAGGTGAAAACTCCCCTAACGGACATTTCCGTACAGGCGAGCCGGGAACTACTCTTGCGCGAGGTGGAAGCGGTGCCGTACCAGGCGGAGAGTGTGCTGGTGAGGGACAACTTGACGGAGAATACGGCGGTGGCATCGACGAAGGCGACGACGAAGACGACACCACCGATGGCGGTGGCGACTACGGCAGCCCCCTACGTCAGTCACGGAAGCGTACGGCATCTCAGCGCCGTCGAGGCTCAGCGTCCGCGAAGAGGGTGCGTTTTGTGTGTTCCGGAGCACACGCTGATCCGTCTCGTTCGTGCATCCCTGCTTACGGCAAAAAGTATGAACTGCTGGCCGGGCTGACTATGGCATCTTTCGCAAATACTCTTTCTACTCTTTCAATCCATTTGTTTCCCCGATTTCAAGTCATCGTTTCTTTGTCCTCTTCCCCGCACAGCATTGCAAGCAACGAGACATTGCACCAAATGCCGTTGCCGCACCTTCCGTGCTCTTTCTTGAATGTCATCACACCCGCACGGATAACCGAGGCGGCCCCTTCCCCCGGGCTCTTGTCCTGTGGCTCTGACTGGGTTGGACCGTTTGGTCCTGTCTGCATCCGTCGGGATTGCATTTTTTATCTACTGCCAGGACATTAACCGAGAACTAATCTTTGCTTTATAACTACCACTAGTCGCTATCGTTTCCGTGCACAAACTGAATACTTCACGACGCGCCGCAGGAGCTTTGTCGGGAGCGCAACCGAACGGCTCAGCGCCGGTTCCGAGAGCGTCAGAAGGTGGGGCGTTTGTAGAGCTGAGGCCGTAGGGAGCCGGATTGGTGTGGCGTCAAGGGGGGCTTTAGGACTTTGCGTGCCAGAGATTCCCCGAAAGGCCGCGGACTGGTCAAGAGGAAGAGGACTGCGGCGATCCTTGCGCGCTGCTGCGGTGTGCTGTGCCATGGTGCCCACCACCTTGTCCATCAATATTCCGCGTATTAACCGTTAAATTGTAACAAAGAAGACCTGCCGGGTCGGAGGGAAAGGGTAAAGATGAAGGCTACGTTTTGAGCCAATTTCAAATTTTAAAACCTTGAGCGAACCACTGTTGGTAAGCTATGAAAACCATCCAAAAGCTTTTTCCCAATATTTAATACACCTAAATTTCCTTTTTATTCTGCAGGATCTTATCCGCGCTCTGCAAGACCAGGTCGAGCACCAGGAGGCCCTCATCAAGGATCTGAAAAGTCGACTGGCAGTTTACGAAGGACGCACGTCGCCGCAGGCGGCACCACCTTTACCAGCATCAGTAGGGCCGTCGTCCGCGGCAGAGCAGCAGGCAGGTTGTGACCAGCCGCCAAACGCCACCTCCACGGCCACGGCAACAAGTAACGGTAACTAAGCCTTTTCAGCCATCTCTTCGTTTGCGAGACACGTTTAGTTTTGCTTTTTTCACAAGAAATGGCGTCGTCTGCCACCCGCCAACGGCCGAGCATTGCGAAGACAAGCCAAGGCATGATGCCGATGCCTTTGACTATCGGCGCACGATGCCGAGGAAAAAGAGGATTACGGCTCAGGGTGGCAAATCTGGTAAACGCCATGAAATCTCTACGATTTCCGACTATTTACAACTCGATGAAACGCTTTTGAGTAATGCTCGAATTTGCCATTGGCTCCAGGTTGTCCTTAAATACAAGGCGCACCGCGCGCCGCTATCAAATGTCGCTGGTGGGCAAACCGGCACTCGATGATGCAGATAATTTAGTAGCTCGAGAGAGCGCTGCTTGAGAGAGCGCTTTAATTTACTTCAGAGCGAAATGTTTTATAAAAATGCTTCCAGCTACGCGTTTGGCAGAGTTCAAGCGCACTCCTTTCCCTACACCATCACGCGCCGCAAAGCCATCGCCTGGGTTCGCTGGCAGAAATGAAATGTAGCTGCCACCCGCGTTATGGCTGGATGGGCGGTTGGGCTGTATCGCGGGTCGGGCTGGGTGGCGCAATACGCATTGAAGCCCCTAGCTCCCTTTCCCTAGCCGCTCTATCCACGCCACGCCACGGTCGGCACGCTTAAAGCAGCACTCGGAGTTTTAATTGCATGCAGGGGGGGACTGCTGTTTCTGTTTGGGAGGCTCGCATATGGGGCAAGAGGGGGGTTTGGTTGCGGCTGGGGTTGAAGTGGACACGAGGGGTCGTGCGAGGTCTATCTGGTCTAAGGTCTGAGCAAGCGTGCCACGGTGTACCATGGCTTGCAAATTCGTTGTCGTTTTCTTTTCTGCGTGTTGGGAATAATCCTAATCTTTGAGGCTTGTGTGGTATGCGGTTGTTGAGTTTGCGAGCGTATGTCCCTTGTATGTATGTCTGTATGTCTGATTGTGTGAAGTATGTAGGGGGTTATAGCTTCACCCGTGGCCACGAGCCTGGCAGTCCCAAGGACCTTCCCCAATGCTATGTTTCGGGGGCCAGCCTCATCGTTCTCTTGCCCATGTATGCCGACTTGTGCGAAGTCGGTGAGTGACGTTTTTGGGTTCAGCAACCACCGCCACCACCACCATGCACAGCGGAATCTGCCCCCGGATCAAGGGCACTCTGCCCCGCACCTGGTCGGCTCATTAATGCCGGGTCTATCACCGTCCATCGGCATGGGTGTCCATCGGCATCCAACCTCTTACGTACGAGGGTCG